AATTAATAGAAAACAGGGAGTGAGTATAAATGGGCAGTTCTGGTCATCACACCTTAAAAAGGATATTATAGCTTTGGAAAAAGTGCAGATAAGGGCAACTCGAATGATAAAAGGGTTGGAACACTTTTCCTATGAGGAAAGGTTAAAGTGCTCAGGGCTCTTTAACTTGGAGAAACGACAACTGAGGGGAGACATGATTGAGGTTTATAGGATTATGCATGGGATAGAGCAGGTAGAGAAAGAGGCCCTTTCTCACAATACAGGAACTCGTGGACACTCCATGAAACTACTGAGCAGACAGGTTAGAACAGATAAAAGGAAGTACTTCTTCACCCAAAGAGTTATTAACACATGGAATTCACTGCCACAGGAGGTGGTGGCGGCTACAAGCATGGACGGCTTCAAAAGGGAATTAGATAAGCATCTGGAGCAGAGGTCCATCAGTGGCTATTAGCCACAAGGTATAGATAGGGACTCTGGGGCAAGTGATGCTCTGTCTTCTTGGTGCTTGGGGGGTCAACAGTGGGAGGGACCCACACAGGGGAGAAGCCGTTTGAATGCTCAGTGTGTGGGAAGAGATTGAGAGACAGGAGCACTCTTCAAACTCATCTAAGAACCCACACAGGGGAGAAGCCGTTTGAATGCTCAGTGTGTGGGAAGAGATTGAGAGACAGGAGCACTCTTCAAACTCATCTAAGAACCCACACAGGGGAGAAGCCGTTTGAATGCTCAGTGTGTGGGAAGAGATTGAGAGACAGGAGCACTCTTCAAACTCATCTAAGAACCCACACAGGGGAGAAGCCGTTTGAATGCTCAGTGTGTGGGAAGAGATTGAGAGACAGGAGCACTCTTCAAACTCATCTAAGAACCCACACGGGGGAGAAGCCTTTTGAATGCTCAGAGTGTGGGAAGACATTCAGAGACAGGAGCACTCTTGAAACTCATCTAAGAACCCACACGGGGGAGATGCCTTTTGAATGCTCAGAGTGTGGGAGGAGATTCAGTCGCAGAAATTGTCTTCATGCCCATCTAAGAACCCATACGGGGGGGGGGGAAGCCTTTTGAATGCTCAGAGTGTGGGAGGAGATTCAGTCACAGAGACTGTCTTCAAGCCCATCTAAGAACCCACATGGGGGGGAAGCCGTTTGAATGCTTAGAGTGTGGGAAGAGATTCAGTGAGAATAGGTCTTTTCAAACTCATCTAAGAACCCATGCTGGGGAGAAGCCTTTTGAATGCTCAGGGTGTGGGAAGAGATTCAGTCACAGTAGCGCTCTTCAAAATCATCTAAGAATCTGTAGGGAAATCTGAGGGGTCCAGGCCACTACCAGGGATCCTCAACCCCATTAGGGTTCTTTTCTATGGGTGGGTGGAGTCTGGCTAGGGAACTCAGGTCTCCAGAGGGAGAGAAACACCACAAGAACAGTTGTCTCATACCAAAAGTATTTATGAACTCTAAAACCATACACACTAAAAGTATTTATTAACCCTAAAACCATGCACAAGTAAAACTTAATAGCATATAGTCAATATCAATGCCTAGTAGTTTATAGGAAATTCCCAGTCCTCGATATAGTGTACATTTCAGAAAGAACAAGGAATTCCTGAACTGTTTACCAAGACCTCACTTAAGCCTAGGTGGGGTGTTGGCTAAACAGCCTCGAACAAAGCACAAAGCCTCCTTTTAAAAATTACATTGTTTTCAGCCAACAGGAATCAAGGGAGGAGTCAAAATATACCAACCTTGCAAAATACCAGCCCTCCCTAAGTTGATAAGACGAACGTTAGCCAACATGATCTTTTGCCCAGATAAGATTTTATTAATTGCAATGTCAAAAACCCGTAGACAGATATGTTTAGGCTTTGGAACCTAGCACTTGTAAGGCCATGGAATGTAAATTCAGCAAAGGTACATCTACAGGGCAAGGCTTTAGTTTTTACGCCTAGGCTGCCAGCAAAAGAGCAAAGGCTTATTGGACTTCTGAACCTAGAAACCAAAGTCAGTTATATACAGAGAAGGTAGATGTACTACAGATTGCTGTATGATCCTCCAGGAACTCATAGAGAAAAACTTCAACGAGAGTAGTATCTTTATATGTCGCCTACATTGATCTAAGGGCAGCATTTGACTCAATTTCCAGAACTAAGCTCTGAGGTAAGTTGGAGGCCACGAATATGGCCGCAGGCTGCTTTTCCTGATCTGTGCCATACATGAAAGCACCTCTCTAAAAGTCAGGTGCAGGAAGCTGGGACATCTTTCAAACACTATCCCCACTCTTAGAGGTGTGAAATAGGGGTCTTCAACATTTATATAAATGACTTGGTCAAATGCTTAAGTGAGCAGGCCTTTCATTCTCCTATACTACAGCATCGTCAGATCTCTTCTTATTTGCAGATGATGCAGATATTCTGTTAAGGACCCCGGTTGAGCTAAGAAGAGCCCTAAAGGCTAGGTACAGCCTTGCAAAGAAGACTTTCTCTCAGTAAACTATCAAAAAACAAAGATAATGGCCTTTGGTAAGAAACAGAAGTCTAGAACCTGGACCATTAATGGCCATTTGATTGAACTGGTGCAGTTGCCCACGCAGCAGATACCAGGCAAAAGTTGGATCACAATATACTTAGATTTCTTATATCTAAGGGTAGACAGTACTAAAACTCTTCCAGGCCCAAACCCTGGCACCAACATTTGCACAGAACTATGATAGGGCCAACATCATCTTCTTTTGCCCCCTTTGAGCATGGTCAATCAAAGTTCCTAAGAGCAGCATTACAAGTCCCCCATTGCGTACCAAATGCCTTGCTACGTTTGGAGACTGGCATTGTCAGAGTGGAAGCCAAGGTGTGCCTTGCCTCCCTAAATTACTGGTTTAAGATTAGCAGTTTTCAGCAAGGCTTGACACCACTGGTCTCCTCTTGGATGAACAGCCACCTGTATGGCTTCAGACAGTCATTTGCAGACTTGAGAGCCTGGGCCTTTCACCTTCCATGATTTTAACCATGGGCCTTGAGCAGGCAGAATGAGCCATAAAACAAAGGACGTTGGACACCAGCTTGATTCCGGGAGGGTCACTACTTTCTTTTTCCCTATGAACACCAGATATATAGTCAAGCTGGCTACCTGTCTGATCCTCTTGGAGCTGCATAGTCGCAGGAGGGCCTTTACACTTGCAAGGTGTGCTGCGGTCCCCTCTGCTGTTTTAGAGGGGCGGTTCAGTAGAATCCCCCATGGGAACAGGTTTTGCCCCTGCAGTGAAGGAGAAATTGAGACTGTAGATTACATTCTTCTATGTTGTCCCTTCTATCAAGATGGTCGCATCCAGACCACCACTCCTTTGATCAATGGAATACCTTGAAGGACAAGCTTGGGATATGTTCGGTTACTCCTAGAAGACAGAAATCCCGACAACTACAACATCAGTTTCAAAATTTTGTGCAACAGCCTATAAAATCCACCAGTTGCTTTTGTTATGGGGGTTTATGTAAATACCACCCATTATCTTACTGTCTATTTATATTATTGTCTATTATAGTTTGTGTTATTTTTGCACTAATATCAATTTTAGCTTTTTTGTGTGTGTCAGTGATCAGGCCTGGGAGCAGGCCATTTCCTGATTTACCTTGGTTCATTTGCTTAATGATACAGCCTTTACTTGTTAATTTGTAATACTTTGGATAACTTAGGATGGGAAACTCTACCTCAGAAAGAAGAAAACGATGGTGGTGGGTGGTCCATTGCAGTCGGCCAGAAAGGAATCGACAGAGGAGGCTCTTTAGAACAAGTACAAACAGTTTATGGTGAATTTTAATTTATCAATAAATAACGTTTTGTAACTGTAAACAAGTGCATTTTTTGAACAAAGATTTGAAAACTAAACATTAAACAGTGTTCCAACCCTTTTATCATTCGAGTTGCCCTTTTCTGCACTTTTTCCAAAGCTATAATATCCTTTTTAAGGTGTGGTGCCCAGAACTGCACACAGTATTCCAAATGAGGTCTCACCATTGATTTATATAGGGGCATTATTATATTGGCTGATCTGTTTTCAATACCCTTCCTAATAATCCCCAGCATAGCATTGGCCTTCTTTATTGCAGTCACACACTGTCTCGACATTTTCAGTGAGTTATCCACTACAACTCCAAGATCTCTCTCTTGCTCAGTCTCTGCCAGTTCAGACCCCATCAATGTGTATTTATATTTAGGATTTTTGGCTCCAATGTGCATCACCTTGCACTTGGCCACATTGAACCCCATTTGCCATGTTGATGCCCACTCGCCCATCTTTGACAGATCCCTTTGGAGTGCCTCACAATCCTCACTGGTTTTCACCACCTTGAACAACTTTGTATCATCCGCAAATTTAGCCACTTCACTGCTTACTCCCATCTCCAAATCATTAATGAACAAGTTAAAAAGCAGTGGACCAAGTACTGATCCCTGTGGTACCCCACTGCTTACCACCCTCCACTGAGAAAATTTCCCACCTACACTCACTCTCTGTTTTCTATGAACTAGCCAGTTTTTGATCCATAAAAGGACTTGTCCTTCTATCCCATGATTTTTGAGCTTACTTAGGAGCCTTTGATGAGGAACTTTATCAAAAGCTTTCTGGAAGTCAAGGTAAATAATATCTATTGGATCCCCCTTGTCCACATGTTTGTTCACCCCCTCTTCATCATCTTTGGCTGCTGTGTCCACATGTTTGTTCACCCCCTCTTCATCATCTTTGGCTGCTGTGTCCACATGTTTGTTCACCCCCTCTTCATCATCTTTGGCTGCTGTGTCCACATGTTTGTTCACCCCCTCTTCATCATCTTTGGCTGCTGTGTCCACATGTTTGTTCACCCCCTCTTCATCATCTTTGGCTGCTGTGTCCACATGTTTGTTCACCCCCTCTTCATCATCTTTGGCTGCTGTGTCCACATGTTTGTTCACCCCCTCTTCATCATCTTTGGCTGCTGTGTCCACATGTTTGTTCACCCCCTCTTCATCATCTTTGGCTGCTGTGTCCACATGTTTGTTCACCCCCTCTTCATCATCTTTGGCTGCTGTGTCCACATGTTTGTTCACCCCCTCTTCATCATCTTTGGCTGCTGTGTCCACATGTTTGTTCACCCCCTCTTCATCATCTTTGGCTGCTGTGTCCACATGTTTGTTCACCCCCTCTTCATCATCTTTGGCTGCTGTGGCAGGTTGGAACGCCTCACCAGCTACTGCCTTTGGGTGCAATAGCCGTGCCACGTCTGTTCTCAGACACCGCAGCACCTGACGCAGCATGCCGCTCAGGTGTCTCACGTAATAAATTGTGGTGTAAAGGGAAAATGGGGGGGGGGCAGTGTCAGAGAAGGCCTTGATGGGGATAGCTGTATCAAAGAGAAGGCCTTGATTATCGATAGCTGTATCAATCAGATGTCCACATAAAAATCAGCCTGGTTTGGTCAATATAAGTGGGCCATCGGGTGGTAATTGGTAGTTCAGGAAACACCATGTCTTCACAGCCACATCCCTTGAATGCTGAGGCAGGTAGCCATTTTTTTAAGACAGTTCCAGAATATGACTTGCAAAGGGGTGCCTAGAAAGTCTAAACGTGTGGCACTTACATCGGGTATCCACCCTTGCCTCAAACGCATTGGTCCTGTGCTCCAGTGCTTGGCAGCCGCAGCAGACCCCTGGTTCCTGCACCACCACAGCAGGGTGTGTGTGTTTTTTTGACATCGCTGCTTGACCTAAGGCCAAATATCGCTGAACTGCAGGCTGTGGAAGGTCGGTAGTTCAGCAGTTCGAGACCCGAGTGTGCCACATGACGGAGTGAGCTCCCGTCTCTGGTCCCAGCTCCTGCCAACCTAGCAGTTCGAAAGCAAGAAATTGCAAGTAGATAAATAGGGACCACTTCGGTGGGAAGGTCACAGCATTCCGTGCGCCTTGGTGCTTAGTCATGCCGGCCACATGACCACGGAAACGTCTTCGGACAGCGCTGGCTCTTCGGCTTTGAAACGGAGATGAGCACCGCAACCCTAGAGTCCCAACTGTGGATCTCATTGAAGGCCGCCTGCTCAGGAGTCAGGGCTCCTGTGTAAGGAGTGATCAGCAGTTTTCTAAGTGGGTAGGCTGCATCCGCCACTGTTAGTGGAGGAATCTCCACACTCTCCAGAGTGATGGTAGGGCTACCTGGCACAAAGCCCCCCTTGTCCATGCCTCTGCACAAGTTTGAACTATGGAACACACAGGCATCATGACTCTTCCCTCTGTGTCCCACACAAACATTTATGAGCCTTCCTTGGTGATACAGTTCCCTGTAGAAGCATTGAGAAGAAGCCCTTCCTGTTAATGTACTCCCCAGATTGGCATACAGGGGCAGCCTGTCCAAATCTAAATATGGCAGCCATCCAAAGCACCAATGCCACAAAGCCGTTCATCACCTGCAAATTCAGAAGCAAGATAAAAGCATGGTTAGGATAATGCAGCATAATGCATCGGGGGGGGGGGGCATTACAGGTGACCGTGATTGGATTCTGCATGTCAGCATTCCCCTCAACACAGCAGTCATAGATGATGCACAAATCTGTGCCCCTAGGGCCAGGTGAGGAACACACAGTCGGAGGCCAGCAAGTCAGATAAATAACTGTTTGTTGCAATGACAGGAAAATACAGGACTGGATGCCTTAGCACCCAGTGTCACCAAGCTGTATTCTGCCATAACCAGGAAGGGCAGACGCTCTTATACTCCAAATGACATCACTTATAGTTTACACAGAAAAGAATACCTAATGGGTGCCATGCAGGTACCATCATTTGAGCTGGCACCTATCCATTGGTGCACCCCTATGCTGGTCAGAACTGCCAACAATTGTGTCTGTAGGTTTGAGGGTTCAATAACGACACAACACACAGATCTGTTGAAGCTCTCTGACCAAGTTCTCAGTTCTCTCTGTCTTCTCTGTCCCTTTTCGAACTGCCTGTCAGCAGCGTTTTATCAGAGCAGGCTCACACATTTCTCCCCCCCTGCCCTGACCAGTGAAAACGTTACAAGTTGAAGACTCTAACTAGGATCTGTCAGCTAGCTGCCATTGTATCTGGGGTTACCTGCTTAACAAATCATGTGCTCTTCCCCCCCCCTCAGTTCCTTTAGTTTTCTTATGCTTACTCTGTACTTTGCGGAACTGGCCAAGGTCATGCAGCTGGTGGTGGGAGTCGGTGCTTCGCTCAGCTTGTTATGGTTATCTATCCTGTGAACTGAACCTGTGTTGATTGTACAGAACTGTTACGTTCCCATGGAATAGGCGCGCGTTTACGAGTTCTATTCCCACCAGCGGGAACTGGGCTCATTGGCCCTAACCTGGTTCAAATCCTTTTATTATGTTATACATATGTATTGGTAGTCATTCCTAACAATGTCCTTGTTCCTGCTTGAACCATCGCTTTGAAATAAACCTTGCTTTGAATCAAACGTGGAGTTATTTCGAATGCCTGGGGATCCAACATTTTGTTAGGAATCTACTTTTCTCTATCATCCCAATTCTGACGGCTGTCATGAGTGGGAAGGAGGAGAAACCAGCAACCACGGAGGTAACTCCGGTTACGTCCGCTCCTTTGGTCACGACTGCCACCGAAACGCCGGTGACTACATTGGGACTAACAGGGGCCGTCGGGGGAGCAATCCTGTGAGGGGGATACCTTCCATGGCCGCCGCCTACCCCGTCGAAGTGGGGACCCGGAGATGCGGAGCAGTGGGACGACTGGTCTCTGTATGACTCGAAAGGGACTAAAGAGATTTTTTTCTCACAGAGGCAGTGCTCTCCGAGAAAGCCTGTTTGGCAGGGGGATGTACCCGGGAAATGTCACCGGGCGTACGGAGAGAGCATCTCGGCAAGAAGACGAGATGTGGGCAGCAGAGAGAGAAATTCGGAGGGGGGAAAGAGACTCGGCTGAAAGCAGCTATGACCCCCGAGACGACCGAATAGAAGACCTCGAGAAGTCGGTACAACAACTCATGCGAACGGTGGGCGATGTTTTCGACGCACTACCGCAAATGATGGATATGCGTATTGCCAACTTGGTGGCAACTCATGGATTACAAGCGCAGCCCCCGATCCAGCAGCAACAACCCCAAGTGCCACCTCCTCCGGCACTTCCAGGACCGCTGCCGCTTATCCCAGGGCAAGTACCGCCACCGGGTCTGCCACCCCCTTTGATCCCTGTGCAACCGGGACCTCCGGTAGCACCAGCTCTTCCCCCTCCAGGAGGACCTGGCGCACCAGGAATCCCACAAGCGGGACAGAGGGCGAGACCGAAGGATTTACTGGATGCCACGTTTGATGGGAACCCAGAAGAACTTGCTTTCTTTACGGTGAG